AACGGGTTGCTTGACCTCGCCGCCCATGGACCGGCCTGAACCCGGGTGGGTTCTTCGGGAGCGAAGTCTTCGGGACCCGAGATCAATAACGGGGTGGTCTCTTCATACCCTGTAACTCCCCAGGGTACGTGGTTCTCTGCCCCGTCGTCATCCCAGGGTCCTGGTAATACCCCAGTTTCTTCAGTTCCTCTAGATGCCATAACTTCTTCTCCTCCCTCTCTCTCTCTACTCGCCTCTTCTCCTCAACCAGCTTCCGCCGCCACTCTCTCGTCTCCCTTTCTCCCCAATAAGAGGGCCTGTCATCTCCCTCCTTCTTTTCTCTTCTGCCTCCCTCTTAGTGAGGCGCACCTGTTCCCAATTGCCCGTCCAGGGGTCTTGGATGGACACCCATTCCCATCCTTCTTCCTCCGTGTCTCTCCTCCTACTGACCTCCCCCACAGCTCCCTCCTCAGGCTCTTTCCCAGCTCTTCCTGCCCAAACCGGAGGAGTCTGGGTTGATACATTTAACCCCTTCAGGCCCCGCTCTAGGTCTATAGTGTCCACGGCCTGATGCAGCATCCAGGGTGGGAAAGGCTTGGGAGCTGTTTGTGTGCCCACGGAGGCTCTAGGGCGGGACGGCACTCCCAACATCACCTCTCGACCCGGGGTGCGGGTGTCACACATGTGTTTTACATTTCAACCTTCCTACCATACACAGACGTCTGCCTTCATATTGGACCTTGTTAGATACTTGTTTATAATTAGCAAAAGATGAAAATCTTTAGATTTAAAAATATGGGAAATGTCATTGGCAGCTCTACAATATGATGTCTCCTACCATACACAGACGTCTGCCTTCATATTGGACCTTGTTAGATACTTGTTTATAATTAGCAAAAGATGAAAATCTTTAGATTAAAAAATATGGGAAATGTCATTGGCAGCTCTACAATATGATGTAAAAACATCAAGTAAGGCGGCATTCCTATGTCCAGTTACCTGGAATAAGGCCTTATTGAACTCAGGGAACTTAACTTCTGAACAAACATGTACAGCATTATGTGTGAAATAATGTTCCTACCCAAACTTGTAATACACGGGGGGGGGGAAGGGGGAGACAGAGAAGGACCACAAGTTTCATCATACATGTCTATTAGAAAATAAAATACAGTAAGTGATCTTAATTGCCAGAGGTCTTTGTTAGCAAATCAGACAAAAAAGTAAGTTGAAAGCTGAATTTGGTACTGTTGTGTTATTGTCATATAAATGTAATATCCTGCCCTTCCATCTATCGGGCATCAAAGACTTCTGTTAGTCACAAAGCTGAAAGCTGAGACTCATGGACTCTCAACTGCAACCACTAAGTAATATTACTTTGGTTTTCATCTGACCTCAATTGGCTAAACCTACTGAAATTGTTAAATTATCACCCTAATAGCCAAATAGAGGACTCTGAGTTTTCTGTGTCACCTCCCATCCCTAGCCAAACAGAAACATATCTGTTTAAAAGAAAGGCCAAATGAGGAGTGTGTGTGCATATGACTGTGGCTCTTTGTCTGAAGAACTGGGGTGTGACATCCAATCTACAGCTGCCTCAACTGTAACTTTAAAACAGCTTCAATGCAGCATGCATTTTCCCCAACTTACATCTAAGGAAAACATATTAGCAGAATCCATCTCACCAAGAACTTTTGGTCTTTAAATACAAGAATAATTTTCCTGGCAAAATCCATCTTGTCATGAACTTTTGGACAGGACAGTTTGGAGATTGCTCGTTCATAAGCTCACCATATGTTGGAGGCAACTTAATGGTACATAAGGACAAAATTAGATCAAAATGCAGTGAGAATGACTAAACTGAGGCTATTGTATTGAAAGAGAACAAAAGAGAGATTAAATTTTCATTTACCTCACTTTCATTCAAATGAAACATTAGTTGTTAAGATCCTATGCTTTTCAGAACTAAATGAAAAACCATAAGACTAAAAGAAAAATTATCTCTTGTTGTTGTTTTTTATTTGTTTCAATACAAAGGTCCCATCCTTAGCCATACATCAGAAGAGAATTTGTGACATAACACTGAAATAAAGCAACTTAAATATCAGTCATGGTGGTTTCACTTATATTTTTATTGTATAGCGGCATGTCTTTTACTCTCTGCTGCTGATTTTATCATGTGCCATTTTATCTTCTGCTACTTTATCTCCTGCCATTTTATTGCAATTTTATATCTTACGATTTTCAATATATTTGCCAACTGCCCAGGGAGCATTCTAAAAATATAATAAACAAACAGTCTTGTTGACCATTGTTTGCAGCAAGGTGTTTCTTTATTACCTTGTTGCTACAGGTTCATATTATACTTTGCTGTGGCTCCAGAAATAACTCCCAGTTTCAACAGAAAGCTGTAGCTTGATGTTACTAAATGACGGAGTAGTTTTTCCTCAGTACAATTCTGTTTTTAATCTTGATGCCTGCAAAGTATCGCCCTTTATCTTTCCTGCCTGTCTTTTAAAATTCTTGACTGTGCATCCTTTTGCACTTTAACAAGAAGCTCGCTTCAATATTTAACAAATACAAATGTTCCTTATTATCTATGCAATAGGAAAGTGGTATCTGGGATATAAAGAATACCTCTGAAAGGTTTCGTTAAAAGAAGACGTATCAATGTTCGACTGCTTTCCATCTCCTTAATGATAAAAAAATTAAAGAAA